TGCATAACTTTGAGGCGTCTGGATAAGTCTAAGTTCGCGAAAGGTTTATGGTTATCAAGATCCGATACTCAGGCCTCCTTTACCAGAGTTAGGCCTAGGTCAAACGTCGAGTTTCATGAAAGGTTGGACGTTTGTCCTAGGCCCTTATTTCCTTTGTTGTCTCCCAAGAATTATGAGTAAGTTTGCCGCCATTTTAGCCGTACAAAATTTCTGAACTAAGTTACCGCAGTGAAAGTAATAACTAAACTGGGCACCATAGAAAGATTTCTTGAAATATAAATGTACTTAAAAACGTTAAAATAATAATTGAAAAAGATATTCCAAAGGTGCATCGATGGCTGCCGATCAATTTTCGTTTGCTTTTAATGGCAGGTCGTCAGAGAAGAGGTACTCGATCTGCTACTGACAGGGAGATTACTCCTCGTATGCTGGCTAAAGTGCATGGCAACTTGGAGGTATGTTATTTAAGGTGATTCCCTAGTAAAAAGAACCTAACATAGTTTGTAGATGAAACTTGGTACACTGATGTAACAAGTCAAGAAGATGATAAAAAAGTAATAAAAAGTGGGGGTCACCGTGCTCGTTTTGACGTCACAATGCTGTGAAATACGGCTATTTTGGACCCTTTGTCAAAAACCGCGCGCAGCCCAAAACTAAACAAAAACGAGAGATTTTTTCGATGATGCATGTGGTATCGCACAGAATTTGACTTTATTGTATTGTTTATCCACTTACATACCAGAAAAATACCTTTTAATGCTCCTGTTTTTATTTTACGCTCCAAAGTAGAATTGAATTGGACACGCGCTATTCGACCCGTGATAGCTCAATCCGTACAATTTAGTAAAATTGCCAAAAAACTGAACATAGATTTGTGCCAATTTTTTTCTCATCGAAAGGAAGCACTGTCCTTATTAAAATTATGAAATAAAAAATGGGGGTCACCGTACTCGTTTTTGCGGTAGAGCTGCAGAAAGTGCGCACCAAATGCATTTTCTCCGAGTTTTGAGAGAGGACTGGGGCGAGTTTCAAAATAAAATGTATGTGAAAGGGGGAAGAAAGTATTAAAAAATCTGTTTTTACAGAATTTACATCGAGATATCACATTTAGGATACAATGTGATAAAGAAAGCGTTTGAATAAAAATCAAAGTGAGTAAGCACAAGTTAAACATCCACTATCGAGGTTCTCCGTGAGGAAGTCGAACTCAGCAACACGCGTACTGCCTACGTTATGGACATTCCCAACACATTGAGTCTCACGTCGGCAAGAAACAACCGCAAGCAAAAATTCCAATAGCGTTTCTCTTCAGTCAACTTCATTTTAATAATGTTACTTCACATGCTCTTTTTTACGGCGGCCATCTTGTTATGCGCAATAAGATATGCGCAGTGCAAAACCAGGGAATCACCTTAACTTAACATTAATTACTCGACAAGATGGGATCGTCATACGTTTCTGGGAAACTGCCCACCTACCCCTCCCCTCAGCCAACATTTTGCCCTAAGTGAGAAGTAAGTGTTAATGTTGGCTTAGGGGAGGGGTAGGTGGGCAACCTTTAGAACAGAGTAGAGGTCATTCCGTGTTTGTGAAAGGCCCTGTTTGTGAAAGGAACTGATGTGTGTACAGAATTTGTCGGTGGGATTTGAGTATTTTGAAAGGTAAATCTACCTTACTCCAAATAAGCTTTACTTGGACAAAGTTGTTCATTTCGGTCTTCTCCTCGTAGTTTTACAACTAATGGCCAAGCGTCAGTTACAGTCTATCGAGTTTGAAGGTCCGTGCAAACGGACGCAACATTGTTGGATGTTACATGTTGCGTCCGTTTGCACACCCTGTTGCATGTTGTTGGATGTTGTTGCGTGTTGTTGCGCAAAATTTGAAACCGGTCAAACTTTTCAGCCAACAACTCCCAACATTTCTTTTGTTCCGTGATCGCCGAAGCGTAGCGCAACAATGTTGTATCCGTTTGCACAGCTCTTCCAACGTTGTTGGGGTCACGCACGCTCATTACGCATGGTTTACAAAGACTTAAAGGTTGTATCCTTCCCACGTTGCACTGCAGGTCCCAACATTGTTGGGAGTTGTAGCGTCCGTTTGCCCACTACTGCCAACACGCACCCAACAACTCCCAACATTGTTGGAGCAACAATGTTGGGAGTTGTTGCGTCCGTTTGCTCGCAGCCTGAGTGTTTCAGTTAATGAGGAAGAAAGCAAACTATTTATGCAACCTTTCAATACTGTTTAGGTTCCGTTTAAGTGAAATGAAAATTGAAAGTGTATTTTATTTTGTTATCCAGGTTTTTGGTTTTAACTTGCGACAGCGTAAATCGTTCCTGAATGCGGTGATGAGGTATGGTCTGCCTTCTCCTGAAGGGTCTCGTCGATCACAATGCGGTAAGATGCATGCCTCACAAGAACTTCTTTTCTAAAAGAAGGCCTTTTCCAGGTCATTTGTTTTTACATACGTGGTAGTAATAATGAAAGGTTAGTAAGTGTGGGCGAGGTCGAAGGTCAAAGCATCTTTGCTCTAACGCTGTAAGCTTTGCGTTCTATGCATTCAAATGGGCCATTTATTCTCAGTGGAAGTCCAAACGAATGCTGGCTACATACGTGTTGGGCATGCGTAATATCAACCTGGAGATAAGGATTGCGGGGCTCCCCTGGTAGCCCGCAATGGTATTAACATTGTTATACTACTACATGAGAATTTTCTGCAATTTGATTGGCTTAGAACAGTAGTATTTCAGCTTAATTTAAAATACCTACATGTGAAAATTACAAACCTTTTGCGGGTAGTAGTATAAACAATTAATAGCATGATTTGTAGTGATATTCGGCATAAATACCCCTCGTGATATTTTAAAATTGTCTCAAATTTCACTCGCCCAACGGCTCGTGAAATTTCGTATAAAAATCGTGGTAGTTATGCAAAATATCACTACAAATCATGCTATTACCTATACAAACTTGTTTAATAGATTTGAGCTGGAAATTTTGAGAGAATTCATTTCCCTCTGACTTCTGTTACTTTATACCGTTCTAGGTTCGCACGAGATCTCCGGGGGAAATCCGAGAAAGCCTTCCAGTAAGTAATTGATATAGTGGAATTTACGTGTAAAACATTTTCCTCATCATGATGTTTGAGGAAAATTTCCACATAATTCAACAAACTTGTCATTTGAGCGAGGTTTCGGGCCATACCCTATTGGTTTCCTAAGAAGCACTTTACTGTATTCGAATTGATTAGCGGAAGTAGCGTTTAGGAAGGCTCTCGGAAGATATCTTTTTCCTTGAGAAGTAGCCATGATGATATCTGTCACCCACCTGCATCACTCTGTGCTTTTCCGCATTTCCTCTATTTTCCTCCGTAATGTTGAAACACACTATATGACTACTTGTTGCTAGAACACCTGCCTCCATGCTGGTTATATTTCATCACATATCAAATACAGTACTGCGAACAGACTTGAAAATAACGACACGTTGTGGAGTATTTTTGATGAAGTTCGAAAAGTTTGATGTTGTGAAAAAAACATTTTAACGTAACGAGATGTAAATTGTTTTTGACTTACAGAGCATATGTAGCTATGTTTCTGCGCCACTTGTGTGAGCCTGGGACAGACAACAAGGAAATGTTTAATGATGGAGTACCTAGTGAAGGACTTCAAAGAACTCAAGTGCTGACCCGGATTGGTATCATGAGCCTCATAAGAAAGAAGGTGGGTGGGTTTACCATAAGAAATCTTGAAAACCAAGTCTAAATGTGTTAGTATTAACGCTTTAAACCCTAAGATCAAAATTTGAATTCTCATTTGTTGCCGCTATTCATTTCCTGCAGAAGTAGTGGGGAGAAGTTGGTAAAGTATGAAGCAAATTCATTTTGTGTGATCATGTTCGTAATTCTCATGACCACTCTGTTTAAAAAAGCATTGATATTACAAGGAGAAATTTGATGCTGATCACTCTTAGGGCTTAAAGGGTTAAGCTTCTGGAGTTAATTCTAAAAGTGGCGTGAAAGCCGGCAAGAAGTATTTTTTTTTGGCACTGTTCATTTTACTAAACAGGGTTCTTTCAACTTTATGAGGTGGTGAAACCAAAGGCTGAACTCCGAGGTGGAGTGGGGTGGGGAGGGGGCGAGGAGGCACTTCCTAGGAATAAGCTAATGGGTATGTGTGAGTAGCCTGCGGACCGCAGACATATTTCCGGTCGTCGCCTCTCTCTCTCCATTATTTTTCGGAGGGAGAGAAGCGACGACCGGAAATACGTCTGCCGTTCGCAGGCTAATGTGTGAGGGGCCTAAAACGACTAGCTAGTGACGATGATTGTCGTGGGTATTGGCCTTATGTTCAGGTTGAAGAGTTTGCTCATATAAATGGATGGGAAGCTTGTTCTGATGAAGAACCTTCAACAGAAAAACGTTCAAGTAAAAGCTCCTCACGTGTCTCCACACCAGTAACAGAGATTGTCGACAGCAAAAAGGTTGAACAGGAGCCAGTTAAAAAGGAAGAAAAAGAGGCAACACCGGAGAAGAAGGAAGACGAACAACAGAAATCTGAACCAATGAAAACTGACAAAGACGAAGGAGGAACGGATCAATTGACTGACAGACTATTTTCTCGGTGGGAGTACTCCCTTTAATGGCCTGATTTAGCAACAGAAAGGGAACGTCAGTTGAGGACGCCGCGCGCAAATCAAACAACTGGCTTGACCAATGGCTGAGCGGCAAATTGGGCACTGGAAGTCAAAATTAGTCCTTTCCGCGAGCTTTCCCGTCGTCAAATGACTTTCCCGTTCTGTTGCCTAATCAGCCTAATGGCCTATACGAGCAGGCTCCACCCGAAAGGGGTACCTTTTTCAGGCTTCAGTTATAAGAAAGGGTAGGGATTTTACTTGTTGAAGTATATGAAAGGTTAGGGAAATTTGTCATTTCGGTCTGTGAAAGAAGTTGCGGTATTTACCGTAATGTGATCATGTTGTAAAACTTCCAACATGTTTTTAACTGAAAGGAAGTAATTGAAGTTCATTCGGTGTTTAGTTTGAATCTAACTTGTTCTTTTACAGCTGGCATCATTTGTGTCGAGTAACGTATCGCCTCCATGTTTCTCAGTGACTTACCGTTGATTATTAACTGAGAAAGACCTAAGATTATTAGACACTATATTAACATTATTAAAAGGATTTTTCTCTCTTCATTGAAGAAACGATTATCTTTCGCAAAATAGTATAGTGCAACAACATTTTTTGACGGAAATATTCTTTTCATGGGGTACTCAACCAAGTAGGAAAAAGACGGAAGCTCCGGGGGGGGGGGAATGTCAAGCACTCCAGGGTGGATGGGCGTTCTAAAGCAAAAACTACACTATCGACGCCAATACACTACATCCACTGGTTGGCTAATCGGTTATGCAAAATATTTTAATGAATGGGTTAATGGTATGAGAACGTGTAATGTCATAGAACCCCTCGTGTCCCGTTTGCAGCTAAAGAGAAGGCTAATGAGGAAGATAATGATAGTGCTAAACAGGAAAAACGTGAAGAAGCAAAACCTGCTGCAGATAGTGAAGAAAACAAGAAGGAAGTCAGCGATGGACACAAAGAGGATGACGGCATCAAAGGTGAGTTAGGAGAAGTTATTAGGGAGTTTGGTCATGTTTTTGAGCGACGCACGTCAACCAGAAGTGGTCTTTTTTTTCAGTTTTGGACAATGGTTTTGCCCAAATTTTTGGACAAATAGTCTCTATGATAGTAAAGACACTTAGAAGTACAAATTTCGCAGCTTCAAGTTGCTTTAAAATGAAAAAGACTTCACTTCCGGTTAATGTGCGTCGCTCAAAAACGCCTTTGTTTAAGCTCTCTATTGTCCCTTAAAGGAACGTTAGAAGAATCTTCCTTACTGCTTCTCTACTATCAGGCCGGATTCACGAAGCCATCAGTTAAGATATTTTCATCGCTCTAAGCCCTTTTCAGCGGGTCATTCACGTGGTACAAAACCGCCATGCTGTAGATCAAGGCCAGATGCACTGGGACAAGACAACAATTGACAATGGTCCCAGTGCGTCCCTTTTGTACCACGTGACTGACCAGCTACAAGGGACTTGATGATCATTGTTGAGGATCTAGTGTTAATACAAATCTTAACTCATAAGGTCTTTCTAAATCCAGACCCAAGTGCTTTACTTTGTCCTCCAGATTAGTGACCCTAGTCATTCGGTGATTGTACCCATCCATGGACGACTTGTGGACGTAAAATTCTATTCCACGAATATGCTGCAAAACTAATCAATCCTGAAAATGTCCCCCTTCCTCACGAAATTCTTACTTTGGCACAGGACCGCAAAGGTCGACTGTTGGCACCACTGGGAACCCCCATCCACAACATCAAGAAACCCCGTATTTTGTTTTAACTTTTACTTACTGTTAGCAGATCCAAAGACTGATACAGACACCAAAATGGATGTTGATTTTCCTAGTGAAAAAGAGGATCCTGAGAATACATACTCTTGGGCTAGTTTACATACATGTATAATTATACTGATATAATTATATTTTTTAATATTGTAATCAGTTTATAATGATTAGTCCGTTTTAAACTATTTTTAATGCATGTTCTTAGGTTTTTTTAGTTTTTTTTTTCTTCAGAAAATAGTTTCTTAAAAAATTTTCCCAATTTTTCTTAATATTTGTATATACATAATTCACTTTTTATCCTGTTTTGTATTTTTTAGTTTGTCGAGCGTTTTTAACATGAGCCTCTGGCTGGGAAGATTGTGTAAACACTTTCCACGTCATCGACATTAAATAAATTTTTAAAAAAAAAGGACAATAAAGGCAAAGAAAATAACGACAATAAATCTGACGAAACAGAGCCAATGGATGTTCAAGAAACTGGAGAAAAGTCTTCTGAAGATGGCAAGGATGGTGAACAAAAGAAGCCAATGTTTGAAGCGGAGGAGAAAGAGGATGATAAAACTGTTGACACAGCTGATAAGAAAAATGATAATTCAGGAAAAGGAGAAGAAAAAGAGGAAAAGGACACGACTAAGGAAACAGAGAGTTGTGAGAGTGAAAGTGTAGAGCAAGGTGACGTGGTTGATAGAAAGGAAAATGAAGGAAAAAAGGAAGTTGAGTCAGTTGAAAATTCTTTTGATGAGGCTGACGGTAAGAGGGATTCTGATCAAACAGAAAAAGCACCAGGGCCCGGTTGCATAAAACGCCCGTAACAGTTACGGGTATACATACGTGTACTCGTAACTTAAGTGAGTTGCATTAAATCACTTACGTGGTCCACTTAGGGGTTTCACTTAAGTGGCTGCACTTACGATTTTCGTAAGTATCTACTTAAGTGTCATTTATGCAACAGAAATTGCCGGTGTTGCATAAAACCTTTTTTACGGGAAAATTAGCGCGTAAATGGTCCCGTATCCTTACTGTTTTTTCTAAAGTTAACGAGATCTTTTACCGAGAAGTGAAAAAAAAGTGTTTTTTTACGTAATTCCGTTCTAATGCGCTTTGTTAACCTCTGATGTACAATTTAAAGCCGTCGTTAAGACGAAAGAAGAACAACAAACATTTCCAGTGGATATTGAAGTAAAATAACGATTCATGTAAACTTTATTTGAATGAGAGGCTTAAAGACTTGACACTTTCTTTACTCTTACCGATGGTTAACTTAATTTAAAAAAAATAGAGTGAGTCAAATTAATAATTAAAAGTACTATAACAAAGTGACGTGTGCCCTTAAGTGAGCCCGTAAGTTACCACGTAAAATAGAAACTTACGAGAGTGTTAAGTGTGTTCCATGCAACACCCGTAAGTGTACCCATAACGGATTCGTAAGTGACCTACTTAAGTGGGCACTTAAGTGCAGGTTTTATGCAACCGGGCCCAGAAGAGAAAAGCGGAGAGAGCGAGAAAAAAGAAGAAGAGTTAGAAACCGATAAAACTAATGATAACCTTCAGAGAAAATAGAATCTGATCTAAAGGAGGGCAAACCGGCTGAAGATGCTGTCGAATCAGATAAAAAGGCAACTGACAATACAGCAGAAAAGACCGAATCGCCTGCGAAAACAGAGCAGGCCCCTATTAAAACTGATCCGGTAGCAGTCCCTAAACAGGAGAAATCTACTGAGAATTCGGCTGGACTGAGTAAGCCTGCAAGTGCAGCTAATGAACAGCAGCGGTTCATGTTTAACATCGCCGATGGTGGATTTACTGAATTGCATATTCTGTGGGAAGTGGAAGAGAAAAGGAAATGCGATGGTATCTGGTGGAGATGCCATGATTACTGGCTTCTAGATGGAGTTGTCATGTATCCTGAACACAGTTATTGAAGTAGTTACTGTATTATTCCCTTTATTCCTTCCCATCCCATTTTGTGGTCTATGTTATGGATTGGGTATCCAGATTTAAAATTTTTGTTGAGTCTAACTACATGGCATTTCATCATTGATATCAAAGCGTTTGTCCGCCACTTGTTGTTCGAGGTGTTTTCACGTATACAGCAAACGGAAAACGTCAGATTCAAGTTAAGCATTTCTCAAAATAGAAAATGAGCAGATAAAAACAGCTCAAACATAGTTCTTATGGATGAAAAATTGCGCAAAACACTAATTATGTGTAGAAATAATTAACAGTAAACCAAAAGTGAAAAGGAAACTTGGTCACATGGTACAAATTCGTGTAAACGTGATGCTTTTAACCTCTCTACTTATGGATCTCTGTGGAGGGGGTGGTGGGGGGGGGGGGGGGGGGAGGAAAGAGCTGTTTCTTCAGGGCGTTTTAAAGAAATTTTTGTTCGCGTTTTTTTTTAATATTTTATCCATTTATTTTCCACAGGGTAGGTGGCGTGTGGTGGGTTAGGGTTTAAAAAAAACCGCTTTTTTCCTCCCCACCCCTGGCACCACAACAAATAAATAAAAAAGAAAAATAAAAAAACAAAAAAAAATAAATAAAAAAAAAAAAAACAGAGAAAAAAGAAAGTATTCAGCGAGACAAACTCCTGTCCAGTAGTTTTTCTTTTATTCCGTCTTGGAGGGGGGGGGGGGGGGGGGGGGGGGGGGGGGGGGGGGGGGAGGGATAGAAGAGAACTTTCTCTCAGGCACTTCTTAGAAATTTTCATTCCGCAGTATTTTAAGTATCCTGTACCCGTTCCTTCCCCATGGCTTGAGGTGTGTGATCGGTCAGGGTTTAAAAAAATCAGCTCTTTCCCTTGCCAAACCCTGGACCCGAAATAGCCTGGCCCCAGTTACTCAAACGTTGGACAGCGCTATCCACCGGATGAATCAATATTTAGCGGAAAAGTATTAGGGAAGCCAAGTGCGTCAGCCAGTGGATAGAGATTTATCCAGCTGAGTGGATGGCACTATCCATCTTTTGAGCAACAGGCGTCTGATTGAAGGGTATGCGCTATTTGGACTTTGTTTTGTAATTTGTTGTTTGTTTACCCTCAAAGCACTTAGAAGTTCTTAAGAACTCGTTAAAACGTTTCCGTGCGTTCCAAATCGAATTACAACTTGGAAGTGTTGGTTTTTAAGGAGAGGAGAAAACCGGAGCACCCGGAGAAAAACCTCTCGGAGCAATGGAGAGAACCAACAACGAACTCAACCCACATATGATGTTGACGCCAGGATTCAAACCTGGGCCACATTAGTGGCACTCGAGTGCTCTCACCACTGCGCGTGCGCCAGCGTTGTTCCTCAGCTGACAATAGCGTACGTTCGATATCAACTCCAATGCTTTCTGGTTTGGTTTTCTTTGTGGTCAGGTCTCCTTTGGGAATTACCAGACAATAAAATCGTAAACATTTTGCTTTTTTTTTTTTTCGGAAAGCCTCTTAGTCATATTAGAATTCTGATATATCGAACGTTGGCTTTTCAATAGAAGGTGCAGTTTATAGAGTAGAGCGAAAAACAAAAAATTGCTGAAAAAAATCCAACGGAGGCAAAGTCATTTTATCTAAAACTACAACCATCCGAACTGCGACTTAAAATTTTAATTGTTTTATAATACAATGTTGTATAAAATTTCTCTACTTTTGTGAGATTGCGAAAATTAGTGAGAATAGGGTATTTTGTTTCTCCTTGACATTATCTCTCTTTCAGTCACGGTTATGGCAGGTGGCAGGATATCGCTAATGATCGCAAGTTTGTGGTGGTCAATGATCCGTTCAAAAATGGTAAGCAGCCAAGAGTTATCAAAACTCGCGTGCCTTTAATTTTAAGTGGTAAGGTGCAGGGCTGTCATTAAGAGCCGGGAACCGGGGACTCCCCCCGGCTGTTATGAACGCGGTCCCCGGCTAGTGGCGTAGGTAAATAGGAGAAAGACAGAACCAAAAGAAATCCCTGGCTGTTTGATTCCTTGCCTACTACTTGTTGTATTTATCCGGCAACTTGAAATCTTAGTGACATCCCTGAAGGTGTACTTGTAATAGTTATGGAATGGACTTGCAGCAAGTCGACTGCGTGAGTGCCGAAGGCGCGAGCGAAGCAAGCGAACGAGAGCGGCAAAGTTGCGAGACTAGCCACGTAAGTTTAGAAACAAGTCGACTGCGTGATTGCCGAAGGCGCGAGGGGACGCGCGAGCATCGTACGTTGAGAAAGTCTAAGGTAATTTCAATTTAGACCACGCTAACATTGCCACTCAAACGGGAACTTATCAACCCAGTCCAGACTTCTTTTGCATATCTTATACCTTGGTTTGTTTCTATTTCAGTCTCTCTGGAGTACAAGAACCGCTTTATTGCGCGACGCTTTAAGGTTTGTTCTGCTGATATTGTTCCCAGTTTTGTGTTTAGACATCAAATAGGTTTTCATCTTCAATTTCTTTGGGTTTCAGGGATAAATGGCCAATGACTGTGTGATATTAAGTATCTGTACCTTATTAACAAAGATTGCTTTGTCAATTGGTCATAGGCAATTAAGTATTGATCACTCAGGCATACGGAACTCGCTGCAATGATTTGCTTGAGGTACCGCCAAACAATAGCTTCCTAATGCCTAGTGCCCAAAGCAGCCTTTCTTGAGTCAGCGATATCCCCAAATTCTCAGTCTTAAGTCTGAGTTTTAAAACATCAAATTTAGCCCCCTTCCAGTGGCATTGCTTCATTATTTCCCCCTGTACATCTTTTTTATACTAATTCAAGCACTGTGGTATGGTTATAATTGAAACTAGAAATTCAGTTAAGAAATTAGAAACCTGAATTAAGCTCTTAGACTGGTTCGACAGAAGCAGACAGTGCGTACACTAAGTAATACCGTCACAGTTCACAGCAACTTTATTGACATTATTGTAGCGCACTAGTGTGCTTTTCTTGTGTTGGCATAGTTCACGCCTTGTGTTGGTTTGAGCATCTCCCAATTGATGTCCGTGAATGGCACCCTTGTGAATTATGTGCTGTTTTTTTTTAAAGTTGTTAGAACAAGCGCTTGTAATAGAAGAACAGCTGAGACAAGCCGATACCATGAAACTCAGGCAAGATGCCAACCACCCTGCCATGGCTTTAAATGCAAGGTAAATATCAAATCAATCTGCAGGAACGGTGTTTTGGCGCCTTTTTTGAGAACTGAGATACGATGTGCAGTCATTTTTTGTCTTTGTTCGGTAGATTTGCGGAGCTGGAGTGCTTTGCGGAAAGTCACCAGCATTTGTCCAAGGAGTCGTTAGCAGGAAACAAACCTGCCAATGCTGTACTTCATAAAGGTAATCTTTCACACAGAACGTTTAGTAGCTTATGGCTTCAATAGCCGGTGAATAGGCTGTCTATAAGGGGAAGGTGGAAAAAATGGGGACCATTAGAGGTACTTCTTGCTACACACGTTAAAGCGTTTGTACCTATTCATCACAATTAAAGTAGCGTCGTTCGGACTATAAGCCTGTGAATATTGTCGCCTTTCATCGCTCCCCCCTTTTGGACGTTTTGTGAGAAAAACTAAAAAATGTTAGGCCTGGTTTTAAACCTTTCTTGTGAAAATGAATTTTATCTGCCTTTCGCTCGTGGTGATCAAAAATTTATTGAACATAGTGTTATGAGGATCAGAATTATTTTTAGTTTATCTGTCATGCAATTCCAGACTTTTCTAGAATTATCTTATAATCTGTAATATTCCAGAAATATCTGTAATGTGACTCAGCAGTTTCCACAAATAGTAGATGTTGTAATACACTATAAATAGCAACGGAACGTTCTAGATGCTTAAAGAAGAAGTATAAAAGCAGGCTTCCAAGTAACAGAGGTTTCTGTGTGTGTGAGTGCCCGAGGGCTTTCCCTCGTGGCTAGCTGTGATTGAACTTATCAGCTATGGATGCTATACTGTGAGAAAGCTATAATCAACTGCGATAACTATGGAGGAGCTATAACCTTTGACATTGCTATATCTGGAGAGAAGAAAGAGACGATAGCAGAAAAGAGGAGAAGATAAAAGAGTTCATGATGAAGTTCCCCGTACGAGTTTGTGAACACAGAAAAGCCAATGAGTGGAAAGGATCCAGTGAATCAAGAAAATCAAGCATTGATGTCTCAAGTCAGTGGAATTGGGACTTGTTCCTGTATGGCCATGAAAGACAGTAAGCCTGCCTGCTTTACGAACTGCTTAACTTAATCTTTAACCTAAGTAACTATAACGGTGTATAACTAAATAAACACTAGTTAAAAAGGGTAACTGCTCGTTGTCACACTTTGTTGCGTGCCTTATATCGTACTCGGGAGTTCTTTTCACTTATACCTTGTTCGCGGACATCTCTTGGTTGTTCCGTCACGTAACAATAGTGACCCTGTTGTATGATCAAAAGACAAAAACTCACTCTATCACCAGTCCTCAATTGTTCAAAAGCTGTATAGGGACCTATGGCGCTATCGACAGGATAAATTGCTAACCAGTAGATACGTATTAGCGAAACCGATTGTGATATCCTCTGGACAGTGATTTATCCAGTAGATAAGTTGCCATCTTCTTAACTTCTAGGATGTAACAGACGCACATTTATCGTTCTTGTTTATGTTTGCAGTATTTAATCAGCTGGAGGAGTTGCTATCAGATATGAAGTCGGACGTCAACCGTCTTCCTTCGACACTAGTCCGAATGCCTCCCGTCACTGCTCGGCTTAACATGTCGGAGAGAGGAATCCTCAGCCGTCTAACGAAACGTGGCGAGGGACCACCACCCAATGTCACCATACCTGGAAACACCATCCAGCCCCCTCCCGTTCCAGGAATGGGTTCAGTTGTTATCCAGCCAAAGGTCCAACCCTTAGTGTTGGGTGGTGGCACTATCATACCCCCTGTACAAATCAGAGCAGGTCCCCTGCACTACACTACAAGCTCTGTGTACCGCGCTCCACCCGTGACAGGCAGCAATGCAACCATCACAGTCCAGCCACCTCCACCAACTACTCTATTGCTTTCGGCCTCCACTGCCACGTGAAGTCAGGCCAAGCCCGGGTTCGTGCAGAATATACCTAAACCAGGCTCTCCGATGATCAGTCATCACGTAAACGCACCCACCCCCACACAGTACGTCACTACTCTTCTTACCAAGCCCGCTGTGACTGCGGCATCCGCTGTACCACAAACAGCGTCGGCTCCTGCCAGCTCTGGAGCCGTTCTTACTCCGGTCATCAATAGCGTTTACAGTTTGAGCACTGGCCAAACCGGAACCGAGTCTCCCCGCAGCGCTACACCCCCGTTATCCAAGGCGGAGTTGGTAAAATGCTGAGCAAGCCTGCCAAAGCTCTGGTGGAAACTCAGATCACTTCCATAATACGTAGCAAGGCCTCAGCAATGGGTCTTATTAAGCCAGATACCCCCTCTGAAACGCAAGCAGCTTCGCCAGGACAAGGTCAAACTACTCTCCAGGCCCCTCAGGAGGAACCCAGCCAGTCGCATAGTGTGACAACTGAGGATACCACTAAGGACAAAGATCCTGATGTGATTTATTTGGACTAATTTTAATACTGTCCTAAGAAAACCGAAACACTTGCTTGACTGGTTCTTGTTATAGTTCCTGTTAAAAACGTGCTGCATGACATGTGACTACCGTAGAACCGAACATTTTTAGGCACCCTTTAAGTGCGCTGTAAAGGCTTATTACTGTCCTGTCAACCAAGTCAAAATTATCCAAATAATCCGTCATTTGTACATTTCTAAAATATTTTATTGCTGTTAGTTTGAATATTCGATGTGAACTAAGTCTCTGTTTTTTCGTCTGTGGGAGATAGGGGCTGAGATGAGATTGTAAAGTTGATGTAACTTATGTGGAGTTCAGCTAATATATGAGCAACAAATAAACACCCACTTTTTAGAAAAGAAATATCTTTGCTCTCGAGTTCTCTCATTTGCCAAGAGCAAGTGTATCCGTAATTTTTTTGTTGAATCAGAAATTTCGTTCAAAAAAGCGGAATACTGTTTCTGTCTTAATTCATACACATTCAATTTAATTATTGTTTTTCGCGATGTGAACGTCTCGATAAACCCTTAACAGAAAGATGTATTTTCTTTTCATAGTATGGACAATACATAACTCAAAGTTGACTATTGTTTTGTGTCTCAAGGGAATTGGCGTCTGTCCCCATCCAGTCCTCTTGGAAAACTGTGCGATCACCGCTGATTTTTTGCAATCTGGCCGGAATTAAACCACTATGGCAGCCAAAACGTCTTTTATAAGAGCGAGTCTCTTGTAAGAACGGAGCAGTGATTTTAGATCAAAACAATTTATCTCTTTTATATTCAAAGATTTTATTTTTCGGTGATTACAAAATGCATTTCGACGAACAACCAATGAGCCCCAAAACTATAGAAAATGGCCATGAAGTGAGCCTAGGTTGCACAGATAAAGCATTAAAAAAATCTAGTTCAAGGTAAGCCGAGTTTATTTCTACATCTATGCCTATATTTAATATTTTGACAGCTATACAAAGTGATTCACTCGTTCGTAACAAGTACAGTATCAAAACATGCATTAAATTTAATATGCAGCGAGCTTGGGTTAATAGTGCCATTTAGATTATACAAGAAAAACGGCGTTCGGCCTAAACTTCTACGGAGGCTGTCACATGCAACCCGCGTAACAAGTTAGTTAACATTTTGCTCATTTAACTCTAATCTAAATATTGCCATAAGCAAATGAATTAAGATGTTAAATTGTATCATATTGGTGGCCCTCTGTACCGTCCGTTTGCTGACTCGACCCCAGTTGCTCCTCAGTCTCCTATAGAGCGTTTTCACACGACGTCACGGCGGCCATACAATGAAATGGCGGCCATGTTGGTGTTCCAAACAAATCCTGTAGGAGTTGAACTCTTTTCTTATTTAAACACTTTCTTTTGTTCTGTCGTTGTTGCTTGAGCTCCCTGATATAAACGAGTGAAGCGCGGTCAAGGGGAGAACCATCCCATGGTCCTCTTCGTACCCGGTGCCGTAATAGTCTCCCGCAACCGTTCCTTGGCCCCTTCCAAATAATAAGAGACGACTGGGGACGAGTCAGGTCTGTTTGGTCGACTCGTGTTAAGGCACCCCACGGCCACGCCCATTGACCTAAAACACGCTCCGTTCTCCAAATTGGCGCCCACCCCCCGTCGGTAAATCTTGCAAATAAGCAGTCTATCCCTAATAAACGCTCGGCCCTACTACTACCCCTCACTTTGCCATATGTTAAGGATTTCGCATCCTTTGTTAATTCAATCGTCTCAGTATCTTTTCAGGAAGTGTCGGTTGTGTGGGCGCCCAATCTTAATGAGCGCGCGCTCACAAGTTAAAACAAGCAAAATAACTGAAGTTAAATAGCGATGTTGCGCAGTTTACCACCCACGTTCAAACCTGTTAACAACCTGATTTGTTGCAAGACAGGTTTGATGTGGGTGGCAAAACGCGCAACGTCGCTATTCAACTTGTTGTACAGCAATGTTGCAAGACAAGTTGCACGTTTTTTGTTGCCCGTTTTTACGCACCTTTACTTATTTAATTGACGTGTGCATTTAGTTCGTTATTGGACGCATTGCATTTGCTTTGGGTTGTTTTCCTACTCATACACATTGTTGGTAATTGTGCTCAAAATTGTGGGTGGCTCCTCCTAAAATGTTCTACAATGATTGGTATGCAGGATTTAATGGAGACGAACCCAATTGTGGAATTGCACACATTTTGGCATTTTACTAAAGAACAGTTACCAATTACAGATATTTCAAGTGACAACAATTTGCCGTCTGCCCTCTTAGAGTTTCCTTCCTTCCGTTTAGTTAATAACACATATAACCCTTAAAGCCCCAATATCCAAATTCAAATTTTCTGTACCGATCTCAATACGTTTTCTTAAAAAATTAGTAGTGATAATTTGATACAAGATCGACGCATTTTCCCTCTAGTGGCCATGGAGTTAATTCTCACGATCATTTCTTTCCATTCTGTTTTGATATTGTTAGAAGAAACTTGATGTTGATCCCTTTTGGGACTTAAAGGGTGGAATCTTACAGATTTTGAGAGATGTTCAGGAACACAAGAAGCTGAGTTGAACGCGGTTTATTTGCTTCCTTACAGCTCGTAGAACTCTACTAGTTGAGTCTTCAGATGAGATGCTTAAGTGAATCAAGTTTAGCTTACAAAGCGGTTGTATTTATACTGAACAATAAAGTTAATTGGTTTTTAGCAAGACTACATAGTATTCACATGTAGAAAGTAGGTGTTAAGGCAAAACCGATTTACACGGCACGATTTTTGCTTACGACTATCGTGCGCGACTAGCATATACGTCATGACTTCACGACAGATCGTGTTGTGTTAATGCACACGACATTCGTACGACACATGTGGATGTGATAAGTGAAAATTGTGCGCGTGTGGATGGTCAAAAATGATGACGTATACTAATCGCGCACGATATTCGTAAGCAAAAATCGTACCGTCTAAATCGGCCTTTAGGAGGTTCTAGACCTGATACAACAAAAGAAAACAAAATTTAGTTGAATTCAGCTGCGCGTGGAAAAAATTGGCAAAATTGGAAATATCTCTATAACCAAATTCCTATACAAGAAACTAAAACAATGGTTTGAAAAAAACCTAATTTTCCTAAGATTCTGTCGAAACAAAGTCTAGTTTGAAAATATCTCGATAACCAAATTCCTATACAAGAAACTAAAACAATGGTTTGAAAGAAACTTAATTTTCCTAAGATTCTGTCGAAACAAAGTCTAGTTTGAAATTAGGAAAGTAAGTGAAATTTAGCTGAATATGGCCCAACTGAGAACAAAGAACTCAAAAGGTGTTGGGTCGCGTGGCACTAAGCTACATTCACAATGAGTTATGCAAGGCTGATTATTATTTCAGTTTGGAAGCAGAAGTGAGAACTAATTTCAGTTTTAGCTAATTTTAAGCAAACGAACTTCGTTTAGCAAATTGCTTATTTTCCTTTCCACAGCTGAAAACACCTACTAAGCAAAGTAATTATTTCTATCTAACGAACTCGTTTTCGTGTTTTAATTTTTGAAACAAGCTTCAAGAGGTGATTCTTAAAGTTAATTAAAACTTAACTATCAAGGTCAGCGTACAAGCCAAATTTGAGAAAATATTAAACCAAACCGGCCGTCCAACTACTGTTTTTATAATAACTTGAAACACAAACACCAAAAAAGAATAAAAGGTCGGTGCAAAACTCCAGGACAAAAGCATGCCATATTAGAGGCACGTATGTTGTGATCTTGACAAAGAGTAATGGTATCATGTAAAAAAACATTTCTTAACCGACCTGAAAAGTACGACTAAGGAGGTTTATATATGTGGATTTTATAGGATATTCCAACACCAATATGGCTAAAATATGATATATGAGAGGAGAACCGACAAGAAAGTTTGATCGTTTGTTAGTTTGTTTTGCGGTATAAATTCATAGCTAAGTTCGCAACAAAAGGTACGATGTTTTTAACCACAGAACCTGGTTTCTAGCAGGATCTAGCAGTAACTTTCGTTTTCCCTTGTCAGTACTTTCCTCAATAGTAAATACAGCGAGCGCAATATTATTTTAAACAAGCAAAGCCGAAATAAAAGATAAATACTGAATTAAATGTAAGTTGAGCTACGATGAAAAGGCGACAGCAAAAGGCCTCCGAAAGTGTGCCCCCTTGGACTTCACGGTGTCACGTAAATTGCTCATATTCAATCTATTGTTTTAAAATTGATAAGCTCGGTTTGCTTTGACTATTGCCTTGAAGTAGCTAATGGTTTTATTAGTAGATATGTTTGTATTTTTTTGTGGTTTTCATTTATAAATTTTTGTATTTTTTTTGTATTTTTGTTTTTTAAACCCCTCAAATTTTAACTTGAGTAAATATGGCCAATAAATTAGCAGCTTAGTACTAATAATAACTTGGGTAAATATTAAAATTCCTGATAAATAGTTGATGGAATTGATGATAGCCTCAAAGCCATCTAGAACATGACAAAAACACGAGCAAAGCGGCTTACATTGATTTGAATCTACATTAGGACCCCGGTTTAACTCGAATTTTTGGATGACTCGAACTAAGTCCCATTTCCCTAGGATTTGATCCTACTTTTCAGTCACGTTTACTCGGATAACTCGAATTCCCCGCTAACTCCGGAACTAAATTTCGCTTCCCTTGATCCGAATTTCCTTCGTTAACTCGAATTCTGGTTCATAAACTCACCATGAATGCCATCCTATTAGCTTTTCCTTGTCTTGTAAACTGAGGAACAACCCCTAAAACTAACACTACAGCGATTTGTTTTTTACTGCTTCTTAATAGGGGCAACGAACATGTCATGTATTTGACCCTCGTTTCCCGGTATTCATCATGAAAACGCATAATCGTGTTAAAATTTCTGATGAGATAAGTTAAATGTGCCCTCTGCTATATACTATTAAAAGTGCTGAAATATCAATAAACTATCACTATTACCATGGGAATTGAAGATACAATCGACCCCGATAACTCGAACGCCCGCTAACTCGAACTGTTTTTAACCTCGGGAGATCAGGCCCGATTTTAGCAGTTCTCATACAATCTCTCCTACGTAGTCGCGCTAAAATTCGTTTCGCCTTACCCGCCGGAATATTATTTACAAAGAGAAACGAAAATAGAGCCTGTCCTCAGGTTAACTGTTTTTAGTCTCCCTTCTCAAGAGTTCGAGGTACTGGGGTTCTACTGTACAGGTGAATCCTTGTTGACATTTTTTGCCTCATTAGCATAGGCTCATCGGATGAAGCTAATAACATTTCTGAATATTGAAACACCATAACAATTTCAGTTATCTCTGAAAATTTGAACCCGATATACCAGATAATTTCAAAGAAACTCTCTTTAAAAAAGCCCAAAATTAACAAAGAATGTATGAGCTCATCAAGTAATTTTGCAGTTTTTAACTGCTGCTATTTTCTTTCTTACTGATTGCAAGGAGCTGAAACTTGCACAAACTCTTTAAATTTACTGCGCTATTTTAATTTTCGAACCTAATTGGTATATACGGCTGCATCTTCTTTCATCCTCTATGGGTTAACTTGATGTTAATGAGCTAAAATGTAAACATGACGACACAATGAATCCACCTTTTCAGTCCCCACACAAAAAACCTTTCACTAAACTATACGTTTAGTCTTCGACATAAAAAGTGCGAAAAATGGCTTAATTAACTGAAGGTGTTTACAAAGACGTTTCGTATGTTATTTTTGGAACTTCATGAACTGAAATTTTGGTAAAGATGGATTCTTTCCCGCTTACTCGAGTCTTGGTTTGTTTTTCGCTCTTGTTTCCAGGTGTTTCCTCACGATCAGAATTCTTTTCACCCGTCAGGGGTTGATCCTCTCCCAAACTAAAGTTCATAGCACCAGTATCTTGGAACGAGGATGAAATTGACGGCATGTTCACTTTTCCTGTTTGCAGTTGGTTCTTAAAAACATTCCTTCCAGCAAATCCACGTACTTCTCCTTGCAAGTCATTCAGAGGCAGCAGCAAGGCCAGACAGCAAGAGAAAGACCATTTGGGATTCTTGAGCCATTCTTTTATAAAGCGATAGATGTATACAATATACTGAACTGCAAAGAAACAATAGTCATAGTTACGTATATTTAGGACTGTCTGAAGTCACCTCTCTCTTTCAAGAACACCTTTTTAAAACGTACGCGTTGACTTGACGTTTTATTAGGCGGAGTCCTCTATTGTACTGTCTTAACACTTCTCCATCAATATGTTAGCTCTAATGTCAAGTCTTGTTGATAACTTACTCTGACTGACTTACGTAGCAGTACTCACATACATACGCAATTACCTACTTACTTACTAACATACTTTTAATTAATACTTATAACAATTACAGTTAGAATGGCAGTTGAAGCTTAACCGATTTACATCGTGAACTACATTTTGGCCGAAAACCAAAAGCAAGCACGGAGCTGGCATCGCCCTACTTGTGATTGGGATCGAGCTTAAGCAACGACGACTAGTCGTCGACGACGGCAGTGACAACGTCGCTAAAAAATTGATTTGCGTCCTTTCAAGGTCCTTTTTTTGACGTTGTTGTTTTCGTCGTCTTGGTCGCTTAGACTTCCTGTTCACGTTCCAATTTGAATTGTAAATATCATCCCCGAAGAACAATTCATGATATGCAAATGAGTTTATATAATAGGAAATACTGGTACATTTTGTCCTATTCACTTCACTTTGCTGACACGAAGGGCGATTGGCGACTCAGTGAGTAAGTCGGGTTCCAGATTACCTTCATTTAATTCAGTCTATCTTGGGCTTGTCCCAGGTAAGATTGATTCCCCATACCTTACTATAATTAGTAACAATACCCAGGGTTGAATATTATACTATTGAAGGGTAAATTGATAACCGAAGTAGTTTTAGACTTAACTTACCCACGAGAAGACCGATTACCAAAGAATTTGCTCCAAGCACCAGTACCTTGAACATGATGTTATCCACATATGGATCGATTGAGGCTGGAATGTTCTCGCTGTTTATCTTACTCACAGCTCCTATTCCCAAGTTTACAAAGGTTACAGCAAGAGATATCAGCATTAGTCTGTTCTCGAATGGGTCCATAATGGGGCTGACATAGGCAAAAAACATTCCATAGAGTCCTGACATGACGCAAGCCAGTCCTACATATGCCCTGCTTTCACCACCAACCAGGATCAGACCTGACGTGAGGACCACCTTCCGTACTGTGTCTACCAGTTCCCAGTACCACGAGCGCGGATGGTAGTTTTCGAAAAGGAATCGCAAGCCTGTGGTGACTTCACTGCTTTTCACTTTGATATCAGGATTTTGGAGCTCGTCTTCGGTTTCATTCTGACTTGTAACGGTCAATCGCGCTTTCCAGAGAGCTATAAGTGATGCTGTGGGAAGAAGTAGTATGTAAGCGACTGCAACGTAGGCAACGATGACTGATCGACTGTAGTTTGTACTCTCACAGTCGATACTGTAGTCAGTCTTAAGAAACTTTTGACAGTGGGTTTTCGTTTTGTCCGAACAAAGCAGACGGCAAGTTGGGGGAAGCACGCTAGCTGTTTTGGAGCAGGTACTGAGATATGTCACGTACAGGAAGAAAAACAGGTTTCTCAAGATCAGCTCTTTCGTTTGAGAAGATTTCCTTAACTTTTCTTCTTTGGAGGAAGCACTCCGTTCGAGTAGAAGCTTTCGTAAGTAATAAATGAGAATCGCAACGATGATGGCTGTGGCATTCATTGCAAGGATTGCAAACAAGCTCTTAAAAGCATTGACCTTTAATTCAGGGAAGATGCAGTGAAGAGGGGCAATCTGAAATACATTAAGCTGTATCATCTCCGAATATTTTCCAATGACAGAAAGAGAATCTGGCCATTTGACGTACGAAAATGTCTGTAACAGCCCATCAGTGACTTGGTAAAAGCCAATGACAATTTTCAGCCTTCCAAGTATCATATCCACTATGGATCTTCCTTTTTTCTCATTCTCTTGCTTCTTTTTACTTGACCATAGGATAACTAAAATAATGACCAGGATAACTGCCATCACGATAGACAGTTGTCCGATCATCCATTTCTTCGTTGGGCACTTTTTGCACGTTTGAAACTGTTTATAGTAGCCATCACTACAAATTTCACACAGCGGTCCTTGATAGACGTCAGCGCAAGAAGAATTGAAACCGCCACAGCAAGCCTCTGGTTGTGGACATTTGTGCGGCGTAGGAACAGTGTATGGGAACTCGATGAGGGAAGCATTAGTTGAAGAAGAATTCCTTGAATCCAAGAGATTACGTGTAAATGATTCATAAAATTGTTTGTGGGTCTGATTCTCCCATTTCCACCAGTAACCCTTCTTCAGCATAACATGATCATCCACACATTGTAATCCTTCTTCATTGCATTGTGTGCAGCCTTCAAAAAGATGGGTACGATGAAATCCTTTCAGACAGCTGCAAGCTCTAAACCCAGCAAATGTGGAAGTATCTGTACCTACAAAAAGCAAAAGTCTGTTAGTTGAATTTTTTGTATTGAAATCACGAAAATACATTTTTTCCATTTTTAAAAAACACATCAATAAAGTTTGAAAGCTTGCAGGTTTTGGCAGTTGAAGGCTTCATTGTCAAATGTGTTTAAATACAACAAAGCTACTTCATAAGAAAGTTTCACCGCCTTGAATTATAAGGACAGCATAGCCATGCCGAACAAACAAACAAAAAAAACATAGGCAAAACCCTAAGGATATGGGTAAATAAATTCTCAGTTCAAAACCGACGTCAAGCTTTTCTATCTAGCCTGAGAAAACAGCCTACATTTGGCGACGCTACCACTGGTTTCCCCGCCAGGTGACGTCTGAGAAACGAGCGCAGAAATTCCATACTGATGACGAGTCACTACCCAGATCTGGGTAGAGACTCTGATTGGTTGAATCAAATTTCCCACGGGGAAAGACCAATCGGAAGCACTACCCAGAGCTGGGTAGTGACGCGTCATCAGTATGGAGTTTCTGTGCTCGTTCCTCAGACGTCATTTGGCGGGGAAACCAGTGGTAGCGTCGCCAAATGTCGGCTGCTTTCTCAGGCTATTTTCTATCTTACCCGACAATAGTCCTTATGCATGTCTACTTCAGACGATTAAATTTAACCACCAAAGCTCGTTTTGAAATTTTAAAAGTTATAGAATTTTGCATAAATGAATTCCAATGGGAGTAGAGTTGAAAAGAATACTCAAGCTCATTAAGTGAAAATGAGAAGTTTGCTTAGAAACGAGGCTTGGTGATGAAATTTGCTCGTCTGACGTAATCAAGCTTAAGTGCTATTGCAAAAGCAGAGAATCTCGTTCAGTCTTCACCTTTATTTTCTGACCAGTTTTATCTGAACTTCACAGACGTCATCAGATACTTTGAACAAGCTAACAGGGATAACGCAGTTTCTGTACACTTTTCACATTCCATCTTCTAACTAGGTCGTGAGTTCGATTCTCACCTGGAGCTCGAAAAATTTTTCTGAGCTTTCTGGTGTTTGATTCTCCTTCTTCTTTAATTATAAATTACAATCAAACCAGGTCAAGCGTACCACCATAGATTCTAATGATGAACTCATTATATACAACTTATTAACCGAGAGTGAGGTCATTATGGGTAAATCCCCGTAATGACCGAACCGACGAAGTTAATAAGTGGCCATTTAGCGCTCTAAATATATAACACCGCAAGTAATTAAGCCTGCGATCATTTAAGACCAATAACTCGTCAGTGCATAGCTTAAAAAAAAAAAACAAATCACCTCAATGGGTGGTAAGCTTGAGCCCGCGATACAGACATGTCACACTGGTCAGCGGATACCTTTTTTTCACAGCTCCCAATTGACCATAACATGGATTTTCACTATCGAGTTAAACACAGATTGTATATGCCTTGGACACCTAGCGAATAATGCCGGCCATTACAAGAAACTTTTGCCAGCTTAGCAGCCAATCAGACCACTTGTACTTTTGTAGCCATATAATAGTTGACATTTTGAAATCTTGTGGTGATTCTTATCATTCTTACTAGCATCCGATGAGCAGTAAAATCAACAGATGGTTAAAATTATTTTGTTTTCTTCTTGAGTTCGAGATAGAATTTTATTCAAAAGCCATCGAAGACGATTTCTCTTAATCTGATAGAATGCTGAGAATCTGCAGCGCGAAATTCACTGCCTATTGAGCACGCAAGAATGTGGTCAATGTTTGACTAAGTTTGACTATAAAATATGCTTACCTTGTGGACAAGCAACGCAGTCACGGGCTCTTTTACCAGGCGCCTTAGTGTATGGAACAAAAGTTCCAATTGGACATCTGAGGCAGTTGTCATTGACAAAGGCTATGGTATCCGAATAGAAGCCTCCTATAAGAAAGTGTAATCAGAGTGAAAGTGTCCTTGAAATAAATTTAAATTTGTAGTTCCAAAATATGACTAAAATGGACCTACAGAGCCGACAAAAAGTAGTTAGTTTAGGGTAAAATTGTTAGGTTACAAAATCCTTGGCTTTTGGTCCGACGTTCCTTTTTAAATTCCATGACCTACAAATAACGTATAATTCCCGTAATATGATTGGTTTCTGTGGATGGACTTTACTCTATTGCATGGCATAAGAAAAAAAAGCTAGCATCTGGTCGTATTAAGAGTCCAATAAATGTGGCTGGCTGGATACTGGGAAAGTTAGTACCAGTTTTTGCGTTTTTATGAACCGGGACAAAAGAGAGTTTGAGCATCACGTATACGGCAAACGGCAAACGTCAGATTCAAGTTGAGAATTTCTCAAAATAGAAAATGAGCAGATAAAAACAGCTCAAAACAATTCTTATGGATAAAAAAATGCATGAAACTACTAATTTGTGTTGAAATAATGAAAAGTAGACGACAATTAAAGTTGAAGTACTGGGCCCAACGTTGTTCGCCTTGTACACCAATGACCTACCAAGTGCTGTTACCTCTGGCTCTGTCTTTATGTAAGCGGATGACACCACCTTTCATTGCATAGGGGACACTGTTGATAACACTGTCACTTCTTTAAATAAAGCTTTATCGGAACTGAATAGTTGGTGCTTAGAGAACTCTTTAACTCCTCACTCGGCAAAGTGCGAAGCTACGCTATTAATGAGAAAACCGCAAATTGGGCCTCTAAATTCTATGTCTGTTGGAGAGGATCGCATCGAGTGGGTGAAACACACTCATCTTTTGGGCATAATGCTATCCATGACAGGCTTTCCTGGTCACACTACCTTACAGATGTAAAAAAGAATTTTGTTCACAAACTGAACTTCCTGAAAAGGAGTTCGTTTTTGTGCAGAAAAGTAATATTGGACTTGTACTCCAAGATAATATTACCGTCATTTCTGTATGGACTTGGTTAATTGTTTTGGGGCGGCTGCCCTAATGCGGACCTTTTACATTCCCTGGAAGTACTTCACTGTAGGGTAGCCGGAATAATATACAACTTGCCCTGCGATGTGCCTACTGACGAAGTATACCGACATTCGAATTGAGCCATCTTGCTGACATTCTTCTCGGGCAATTCAGAGGCAAGTAGACCCTTTAACTGATAAATCCAGCTCACAATGTATCACGGATTTTTACAAAGAGAAAACTATTAACTAAATAATTTTATAGTAGCAATACAATAGAAATAAAATAATGTAACTCGGTGACGTTTTTGACAATGTTGAAAAATCTTACAGCAGGTGTTTCATCAATTTTAAAATTATTAGCTCTTAATTCGCACTTGAATTCTACCACTGCTGTTTGTGACTTGAATTTATCATCACCCATAGGACAAGTACAAGTTTAAATAATAATCATGTAACACAATATATATTTTACCTGCAGGACATTCGACGCATTCAAGACGACTTGCATTTACAAAAGTACCAAGTGGACATGGTCGTAAATTGTAGTAATTAAGAGTTGTATCCGCAAAACCAGCTCGCTTAAATGAATCAAGTAGTGCTTGGTGGACGGCCGAATATTTCCGAAGGTCAAGGGAAGTAGAGTTATCTTGGCCTAAGCCGCTAAATTGAAAGATATAAATGTTTCAGTAAAAAACTTTTATAAAATGTAAAAAATTGACATTAAGGTCGTTCAAAAGATCGATACATCTTAGTTATCGAACGTGTTTTGTATTACTTGATTGTTTTTAGTAATTGCACTTTTAATTAGTTAATTATACATCTAGCCGGATTTTTGACAACGTTATCGCCAAATGGACCTTTTTTGTCGAACAATTTAAAAAACCTGCCTTTTGACGCTTTTTCACTCAAATGACCGCAAATTTTGTTAGGTTGGTTTTAAAAAAATCGGTTAGACATTCTTATAATTATATGAAATAAAGAAAGAAGATATATATAGATTGAGTTCACAAGTTTAATGCCGAGGTTGCTAAACTTAGCCGGCAATCTCTGGAATTCCCAGGTTTTTGCAAGTAATATCTACATAATATCAAAGGAAATAGAAGTCATCAAAATCTGCAAAACTGCTAAAGAGGGAAGCAAATGTGTTAACGAGCTTTTAAATGAAGCTATTGTGTATAATATATTGGGCTCAAATTCTCAAAGATAACTAACATAGTCGAACCATCATTTGCGACCTGCTCTCGCAAGCGAAAATCTCCCACTCTGTGAAACGTTGCATGGACCTCTGTCGGTCAATACGGCCGCACGTTCGCATCAGGTGTTAAGACGTGTATTTTCCAAAAGAGTTCCAGACATTTACTTTCTTTAAGATTTCTATAGCATCGTACATTCAGTAAGCAAGCCATCGTTTCGAAATTCCTTCATGAGCTTTCTTAAAGGTGTTAATCTTTACGTGATTTTCGTTTCCCTACTAAGTTAATATAAATGGAACTGAGTGAAGTGCAAATTGGTCTAAAATCATACACGTGATCTGAATAACAAGAACTTGAATCAAATGGGAGAACAGTCGTCGTACCTTAGAAGTTGCCTGCAAGAAAATTTCCTTCCAAAAAGTAGATTGTCTACCCCTCTTTTTGGAAGCCATCACTTTTGATTCGATTCTCGTTAGCGACCTCCACTATAGCTTGGCTTTTTGGGTGTTCCCTTAGGAGAGGTTCGGCTTCTATTACAACGCTCTTTCAACATCAAGACAGATGATATATACAATAGCTTGATCAGAGAATGACCAGTATTTGAAAATGACGCAGAAAAGAGACAAAAATACATATTCACCTATATCTCACAGTGCGAGTGGGTTGAGAAAATGAGTTCGGCAAAATTTAACTTCATCTCCTCAGTATAGTTTACATCGGGTTGATGTATGAAGCTAAAGTAACTCAGTGAATGAAGGTCAAAGACAATGCAACCGCATATTAGAATATTGTATTACGGTATTAAAGAAAGTTACGAACAGATAAATAGTGCAGCGCTCTCGTTCAAATGAATCCAAAACTTTCATGGTACCAATTTTACCATCACTTATGGTTCTACAAAAGAAAACGAACAATGGATAGTTAAGTCTTTGTTATTGATATCAAAGCCCGATTCCCTACGAGCGAA